AGGAACGTACCATTGGGGGTTGTCGGTTTTCTGTGAAGCAGCCATCCACATGCGTTGCACACCGATTCTCATCATTCCCTAGTGAACTGGCTTTCCTGGCTTGGATTCTGATCTAAGTCAGAGAAAAACAGGGCATTCTATGACTGCTTCCTCTCTGAGGCAAGGTGATGAGCACATGCCACTTGTTTCCAAACCTAGTAAAGTTGGCCAACGTCTCTAATGCAACTAATTGATGGCATCTGGGAATGAACCATGAAGATGAGATGAAGCCCTAGAAGCCGGGATGACTGCACCTTCACGTGCCCCCTTTCATGTGTGAATGTGATCCAAGCTATAAACCTGCAGACAGGCCTTTGAGATTGTATCATCTCAAACATGGAAGAGACAGTCTTTATGTTGAGCTGCAGAAAAACATTGGGATGAGTATTGGCCAGGCAATACTGGAGAAATGGCTCAATAGATAGTGAAGTGAACTTTGATATTATCCATGAACCAGAATAGTTTTGGGGGGACCATGTCAGGGTCTTATGCAGAGCACAACATCATCATCATCATCATCATCATCATCATCATCATCATCATTATAACATTTCTATGCCGCCCCTTGCCGAAGCCTCGGGGCGGCTTACAACACAATAAAATACATTGAAATACAATAGAACATAATAAATTACCATTAAATACAAAAATACAAAAAATACACTGAGTTACAAGCATAAAAATATAAAATTAAAATTATCAGTATAAAATAAGTAAATAAATAATATAGGAGGAGAAAAGAGAAGGAAGAAGAAGTTGCCCTGGCCAGATCATATGTTTTAACAATTAAAATGATGTTTAAATAAAAAGGTCTTTACCTGGCGCCGAAACATTGTACTCATTGGACAGGCCACTAAAGGGAACTCCTTTGCAAGCTTCCTTCTCCAATTTTAGTCCTTAGAAAAGAGCTATATGCCTGTGAGAAATGAAATGGTTTTGCTTATTGGAGTTGCTTTGCCCCTGCTCACTTACTAGGAACAGGGGGTTACCCTGCATCTTACTGACAGCTTCACGAAACAGAGGTGGAGAGATTCCTACATGATCCAGGCAGGCATTTTGTTTAAGGGGTAGGAAAGAGAAATGAAAATACCCATTTATATCCCACAGAGAGAAGCACTTTTGTCCCCTGAATCCTTCTGGAAACAAATGCTTCCCTTATAAGCTTTTTGTGTGGAATGTGGGTATTCCGTACCCATATTCCATCTTTGTAAAGAATAAGCTTTATGTCATTCTTTCACAAGTGCTCTTGTTTCATCTTGGTAATCTCCCAAATCTGCTTCGACTGGGTGGCTGAGTGGATCAAACCCCCAGATGAATACTGAGTAGACTGAGACAAAGTTAATGGCTGTTATTTCCCACTGAAGACAATAAGACTTCAAGATGAGACCTGATTCCCTTGGTCCATTGTTTTCAATGAGGCTAAGTGCAACTAAGGTATTCCTAAATTACTCCTCCATTCAGGGGAGCAGATTCTGTCCGTTTCTCTACTTCCTATATAACTTGACTGACCATATCTCGCATTCTGCCAGGTGGCTGATGGACAGCTAGGGTCAGATGGGGCATGCAGGGAGTGGCAGAAGTAAATGTGGGGCAGGAATGTGGGGCAGGAACGCTCCATTCTGTGAACTCTTTGCCTGCCATGAGAGCTTAGTCAGGATTCTAGTGACTGTGCTGAGATGGATGGGACATGAAAACTCAGTCTGCAGCGTTTGATGGCCCAATTCACACATTGCTTGATGTTGCACTCAGGTGGTAAAAATGCAGATGGGTCCAAGAACAAGGTAGAGAGAAATTAAATGATGTCTATATGGACTTGCTTCTGAGCTCAGCCAAGAAATCCATCATTAAATCAGGGAGCCCGATAATCTGCTTATTCAAATGGAAAGAGGCTTCATGGATAATTAATGCAGCCTTCAGGTGGCAAGGTGTCAAAGTCAGGGAGTGAGAATAAAGAGATGAAACAAGGTAACAGAAAATGTGGAGCTTTTTGACAGGCCAGTAGCTGAGTCTGTCAAATTCGGTGGCGGTGTTTATTTGATAATTGCAAGGAGCCGGGATGGGAAGCATGAAATCCAATCCAGAGCAGGAAAGTGGCTGGTCTGACGGATAGCGGGGGATAGCATCAAAGGAGACTGAGTGCTGATGACTCAACCGCATCACGCGTGCCTTCAGCCCAGTGAGCTGAAGGGAAAGGCGGCCCCCTCACCCCCAGTGGAGTGAAGTCCATTAATTTTGATCACAGGAAAGGGAAGATTGTCCCACCCTCAGCACTTTTTCCACTTCTCTTCTCCTGGCTTAAATCAAAGCATGGTTATTTTGCACGGCATTGCACATTTTCAGGATTTAGAGATGGTCTGCCGTGTTCTGATTTGGATCCCGTACACCTAAACGCCTCCTGTGCTGTAGATTCCCCTTGAGGAACTTTGCTCTGCAAGGTCATTCAATGGACCCCTTCCCAGCAACCTGGGCTCAACTTTTGCTTCTTTGGTGGCCCTCAAATTGCCACCAAAGGCGTTACAGAAACCTTTAGTTTTTAAACCTGAAGTCTTCTTATTAGGCATTATACCCGTGGACATTAGTATACAAGAAATGTATCTGATTTTACATGTAATCACTGCGGCGAGGATTGCATTTGCTCAACACTGGAAAAGTGAAGAACCACCCACCGATGAACTGATTTTAAAAAAGATCTTGGACTGTGCAGAAATGGATAGATTGACTTTCTCACTGAAGGAGAAAGAAGATACTGATTTCTATCAAACTTGGGACTCTTTTTATTATTGGCTAGAGAAACAGGACTTCGTATAGATTTAAATATGTTTTTAAGTTATCATAAATGGAAAAAAAAATGTGGGGGCTGACCCAGCAGGCCCGATGTTTTTGATGATTGATTTTTTTTAGTGTTTTGTTTTTTAGGATTATAATTTCCAATAAAACTTATTACAAAAAAAAATTGCCACCAAAGGCACCAAAGGAAGTGCCACCAAAGGCAATTCTGAAGCAAAACCATTTTTAAAACATATTTTGATAATGCATGTTTAAATTGTCCAATAATGGAAGGTCTCTTGGCAGCTACATTCCATTAAAAACCAAAATGCAAAACATTAAAACCAATGACACAAACAGTAGAGAATAAAAACGCAGTGGAGATAGAGATATATGATTCCTGATTGAGAATATATCTGACTCGGAGGAAAGCAGAACAAGTTTTGGGAAGATGTATCGACATTTCACTGTGGTCTATGCACCCCACACATTCAAATTCATGTTTGAATGAATATTACCTCAGGAAGCTGTATGACAAATTTAGAAGTTCCCGCTAGGACAAAACTCTCAAGGGATTCCAAGATAATCAAAAATTATCTTGGCCAGGATGAGACATCAACTTTTCTCATTTGTGTTCATATAGTTACTGCATTTATTTCCAGTAGTTTATATATAGCACCCAATGTTCTCTCAGTGGCTTACAATAAAAATAAATTTTAGAACACCCAACTATCTATACTATGTGTCACAGCAAGAGAACTGATAACATGAAAGCATTATGCATTTTGCTCTCCAGAACAACACTAGGCAAGAAGAGGATTAGACGACCAGAATTCAGCTTTCTGTTTTTAAATAAAGCAAGTGTCTTTCTTAACGGCTGTGGAGAAATCCTTGTGCCAAAATGGAGAATTTCAGGCTTCAGTGTGTGGGCACTAATTTGGAAATATAGTCCTATGAGATTTACCTGCAAGTAAACTTATATAGGGTTGATTTGCTCTAAATGGCTTGTTTTGCCAATGGTGAACAGGTGCAGAGCAAATTTTGAAGACTGCTGTGAGTATACTTTTTGCCTATCAATTTGAGAATATGGCTTTTTAAAAAGTGCAGAGTATTCTTGGTCCTGGACTTTGTGGAGTATGCATACTTTACATATACATTTGTGGGTATGATTACTCCCAAATCATTTGGAGTAACTTATATTGGACTGTGTGTCATTGCTTGAGACATGCAAATCTGCAAAATACAAACTTTCCAAAATTCTCAAAACATGAACCTCATTCCAACTCATCCCATACTGGACTATGAACTTGGTTTCTTTTCATTTTGCATGAGCATTTCTGTGCATATTTCCCCAAATATATGCATTAGTGATGCCTACCTTTGAAGTCAACACATCTTTCTCCCATTCAGTAAAGCATATCTATGCACGTTTTCCAAAAGGACGTATTTTTTCATTAGCCTTTTTCAAGGGTATGCATGCTCTTCAACACATTGGGTTCTGTGAATCACACTGCAAGCTCAGAAATGTGCAGACTTGACCACAGAGTTCGTCTGAGTCTGTTAGATCTGCAAAGTGTGAGCTGGATAGCTCCTGACTGAACTTGAATTCCTTGAACAAGAATTACTTATCCATCCCCGGTCACAGCAACCACCAAGGTTCCCAGGTTTCCAAGTGCAGAGTTTCCAAGGTTATGAACTTGGCATGTTCCAAGGTAGATTAGCACAGCATTCCAAAATCCCATAAAAATAGTTGATAGCACAGTGGGCATGTCGTGAGCAGAGCCGGCTGGAGCTGGGGGTCAGACTAGATGGCCCGGGAGACCCCTTCTGACTCGCTCTGTTTCTATGCTTCTAATCTTGTGACCATTAACAGAGGCTAGATGGCCATAGGATAAATCAGACTCCCAACTCCAGCCTCACAGAATTGTGCTTCCCTTGCAACCACATGGGAAGAACCATGCTGGCTGCGGCTCTGAGGCTGCCAGGATGACCTCAGAGCTGGGCTGTGGGAAGCAGGTGGTGAAGAGACATGTTCTCGGGCATCCATACAGCCTGAAGGGCCTAATCTCAGAAGCTAAGCAGGGTCAGGCTTGATTAGGATTTGCATGGGAGCCCTGACTGAGCAGCGGTTTGGACCTGATGGCCTTCCAGGCCCCTTCCAACAGTCTGATTCTGTGATTCATTCTCAGGGCTTGCCATGGCAGGAGCAGCATGGAGGTGACCTTCGCTCCTCCGCATGCGAAGGATGCACGTAACTTGGAGGGTTGCAGGCAGCCTCACGGGGACTTATGTCCCTGCACTGAAAAACAAGCCAGAACCAGTAACCTTCAAAGAGAGTGAGCCACAATCCTCAGTCCAGGTGTTCTGCTGCTTCCCAGTCCACACAGCAATCAGCTCTGCATGCAGCGAGTCTAAATGTGAGTAAATTATGCAATGTGCGCATGGGGAAACAGGGAGCTTGTCTCATGGACCTTTAATTTTCTCAGGCCTCCTTCCAGTTGTGGAACATTCACCACACAAACCTTTATGTTCTCTGCTGGATGTTTAAAAGTCATGCCACAAGTCTTTGGATTTGCTCTGCTTTGAGGGTTTTTTTGGTAAGTAAAGTACTCTGTCAGCACCATTAAAGGACATGGTTTTCATGCTGTATGCGCTGAACTTTCTTCAGTGGCAGTAAATATTCAGAGCAAAAGAGCAGAATGGGAAGGATGTATAAGGGAATGTTTTGATGCATGCAGTAAAACCTGGATCTGGAATTCTTAAGGACCTTGTAAGCCCCTGCAGCAGATTCAGTGAGTCCTTGGTGTGGCTTTACTACCAAACATTAGCTGAGGATTTCAGGAGTTTAGCTTCCTTCTTAACTCCTCTGGGGGAAAGAGTTAAATTTCAGAGTGAGAACGGGGGAGGGGGGGGAGGTGGGATGGGAAACAATTTTCCACAGTGTTCCTCTAAGTTTTCTTCTTCATTCGTCACACTTCAGTCTTGTTTTCTGGCAAGATTCTCCAGTCTCAATTACCTCTCACTTCATGTGGGAAGGAGCATCTGCAAGGTGGGCTTCAGAACTTCACCACTGGAAATCATATCCACCCTTCAGGTCCCTTTTCTTGGACTTTCCCCTTTCCCCAATATTTGGTGGTTTCCTGGCCTGTACTCTCTCTCTTGTCCGGTTCTAAAAGGTGAAAATCCCTCTTCTAAGACTTAGTTACAGGTAATAAAAATATAGTTTTGACTGCACCTGCCTCTAGAATGCAGTCTCTGAAATGTACCCAGGTGTTTTAAGACTTGCTACTTGAAGAAACAGTACCTGAGCATCCGTTTGTCCAGCCCAGGAATAACTATTAAGACTGACAATAAGCTCAGCAAAGTCCTGCTGAAAATACAGCTTTCTTTCCTTACCTGTGGTCACTTGGAATGGAAATGCATGCAAAGCGTGAAGTTTGCTTCTGGGTTGTGGTTCCTGCCTATGAAGAAAGGACTTGAGATTTTGTCAAGATTTGTTGAACCCCCACAAGACTCTATCCTTTGCTGCACAAAGTGCTACTTTGTGCTTTCATTCCCTGAATCTCACACTACCTGGGAAACTTCCATTAGGGTACTTTGCCAGTAGATTTAATGACACCATTGCTTTGCTTGGTGTCTGGTGACATTTTGAGCCTGGCTGCCTTTCTTCTTAGCACTTCTACTAGCCAGCTAGAATTGCCTTTTTTGTGGGGGAATTAGTTACTTTTGAGATGGAGTGACTTGTAGGATCAGGTTGATAGTTGTGAATACTTCTCATGGACTCCTGGACTGGAAGCAGCAGCTGTGTGTGTTTGGAGCAATTTGATCCTCCAAATTCTTCCTTGAAGCTCATTTTACTTCATTTACATTTTCAAAAGCATTTTTAACCTGATCAGGAAAAGTCTGTATTTTTCAATCAAGAAAAATATGCACTTATTAAAAGAGCAGGTTTGCTCCCTGTAGGATAAACGCAAAATTTTAACCATGCACATTTTTCTCAACCAAAACTGCACTTCCTTCATAGGCTCAAGGGCGAACATGTGAATTTTAGAGAAGATTGTGCAAATGTGCACTCAGAAAAATGTGGACATGTACAAGTTTGCACTTTGAATGCAAGTTTGGAAAAGCATGACCATTTCACCCAAACCATGAGCCCGTCTGCATTCACATTTGCAGTTGCAAATGAGGCACATTCTCACAGTTTGTGAACAGGAACAAAATTCTCATTTGTGCATGGTCGTCAGACTGCTTCAGGCTCAAAACGATCCAGCGGTACATCACTTCCTGAGACTGGTAGCCTGTATGAGGCCCCTGGATTGTCCAGGATGGATTGTCCATGCAGTACGGATGTCTAAAGGAAAAGAACCAACTATGAGTTGGATTGACTCCTGGAAGGAAGCCACAGCCCTGAACTTAGCACGGGGCTGTCCAAGACAGGACATTCTGGAATACTTCCATTCATAGGGTTGCCCTCGGTCCGAGACGGTTGGATGGCACTTACCAACCACAAAGGAGGAGGAAGGCTGTAAGACCATTAAGTCCAGATGCCTAAATGGCTGCATTTAGCTCTTTTGTTCAAGGGACTCATCAAGGGATGTGAAAGGACAGTCTGGTGCTGCCAAAGTACTTGACCGGGGCTCCTCTGAGTCAGGGTGGACCTGGTGTACCCTCTCAACAGGAGTTCTGTAGGTGGACAGCCCACTCAGACTCCAGAGCGATGCACCTGCTACCTTCTGGCAGTGTTTAGGTGCCTTCCCTCCCCTTTCTTTGTTCTGTGTGCCTGTACAAAAGGGGGATATTATTATGTCTTTCTTGATTACGAAAATAGCCTCAGTCTTGTTTTATCAGTTTTTATTCAGTAGGAATGTAATTCAATTCTCCCTTTCATTGGTGACTCAGAGGAAAGGGCACATAGCTTTTTATATAATTGCATGGCAGAAAGAGGACTCCAAAGGGGAGAAAAAAAAAAGAAAGGAAGGAAAAAAATGAGGAGGGTTGCTGGATTCTTCTTTATTTGCTCCACCTTCGGCATGACATGAGCGGTAAATGAAAGAGCAATGGAAGAGAAAAACAAAAACAAAACACAAAACACTTTCCTCGGGGAATGTACAAGACAACACAACCCCTGGGGCCCTCGCTGTGTATTCTGACCCTCTCTCACAAAACATGTTTCATGAATTTAGGACAATGAAAAATGGTTCTGTTGATTATTGATGGATCAGTTGGTGATACATTTTATGCTATTTAATAAGCCAACATTTCTAAGGATGAAATATAATGGGAATTTGCATAAGCATCTGAAATCAGAGGATTTCCGGTATCCTTTGAAGAATGGGCCAAGCATGGAGGCAATTTTCATCTTCCTCTTCCTATTGCTTACAAGTCAGCCAAATTGGGCTGCCTAATTCTGGTTCTTCAGACAGGAAGGAAATATGCTGGAGTTTCCTCCCCTCCTTGCTGCTCTCCCCAGTATTACAGTCTTGGAAAAGCAGCTGAATTGGTCCTTTCCATGCTGGTTCTGTGCCTGTGTGGGTGCTTGTGGAAGAGATGTGGATCCAGGCCTGGTTCTCCAGCTCCATGGCTGGAGTTTTTTCCCCAACCTTGGAGAAGACTCCTGTGGCCACCAGAGGCTATTTAAGGTCACAGATGTAGGAGGTCCACTCAAAGATAGCGCATCCAAATAAAATCTGGAGGTCAGAGAATTTTCTCAGCGGTTGCCCCTAAGCTATTGAATGGCTTGCTGGGAGAGATACTGGCAGAGCCGGCTGGAGCTGGAGGTCAGACTAGATAGCCCAGGAGACCCCTTCTGACTTGCTCAGTTTCTATGTCTCTATGTGTCAGGTATCTCAGATTGCCACCTTTAAGATGATAATTGTATTGTATTGTTTTATTGATTGTTTTTATGGTTATTGGTTTTAATCTTGTAAGCCACCCTGAGATACAATAGTGAAGGATGGCATATAAATATTTTAAATAAATAAACAAAATAAGGAGGAGTTAAAGATGTATCTCTTCCAACAGGTTAGTTCTCCAATGATTTCATATACTTATTTTTAGTTGGAAAATTAACTGTTGTTTATCACCTTGTAAATCACCCAGAGTCTATGGGAATGGGGCAGTGTATAAAAATAAATAAAAGAAGGTAAAAGAAGAAATAATTGAAAACACTGTGACATCTTGAATACAAAACAGGGTGGCACCATCAACCCTTCCACATCGGGGAAATTCTGTGTGAACAGACATTTTTTCAGAAGGTATTTCATCTTTGCCACCATTCCTGCCTCTCAAAGCACAAGTGAGAGAAGGCTGACAAGGAAAGGGGCCAGCACTAAGAAGGTCATTACCAGTAGGGTCTTCTCTGAAGATTTCAGGGTGCATGAAAGTATATATTTTGCTCTTGCTGCTGCAATCAAACCAACACATCTATAGTACTTTGGTTTCTGATTGTAAGTTTCCAATTACTCCTTTCCAATCAACAAAATTCTGGCTGCACCAAGTTCCTTTCCCATTACATTTCACTTGACATTTTCTTTGGTTTTACTGTTATCATGCTTGTGTCTACATATCCTCTGCAACTCAGTTTCCTCATTTTCCTAAGGTCCAGCAGCATTCTCAGTAGTGCTCTTTACAAGATACCATTGTGGTTCCAAAGTCCACATTAAGGAGCCCTTTGCATTGACTTTGATATGTGGAGACATTAAAAGTAAACAAATAAATAATATACAAATTGTGGACTCTGTGAGTAAAAGATGAGGTGTTGGGCAAAGGAAAAGAAAAAGAAAAAGATCAGTTGATATTGCAGCAAAAGAAAACATTATTTGGTGCCCTCTGATAATCTACAAGAGGTGTATATGATATTTATTTTCTCTGATATTTAAAAGAAAAGGCCTTGGCTTCTGCTGGTTAGGTCTCATCCTGGCAAGCCATTTTCAATCTTGTCTTATTTCTACCCATACCAAGCCCATCCTACATATTCCACCCTGGATCTGTCCACAAAGTCCATAATATATCCTAACTTAATACATTTTCTACAGACAGCAGTTTCGCTGTTTGTTGGTTAAACTATCTTTGTTCCTGCAAAACAGGGAGAGGAATGCTCTACTCAAAGCACTCTATGGCTCACAGGCCAAAAGGAACAATTCAATTTGCTGAACACAGGCTGTATGCTCTGCAAAACTAACACAGTAATCTACTCATCCATTCCACCATGGCAGACCACAAAATCCTGCTCTGAAGCCCAGTCAAAGGAGAACAGATTAGGTAGCTACTTTGTTTAAATTTTACTGTCATGTCCCCTTTCTCAGTACAATGAACACAGGCTAAGTGTAGCCTGAGCAATCAAAGAAATCGACCAGACTCGACCAATTCAGTTAGCAGACTTAGAGCACAGAACAGTAAAACCTTCGAGCTGAAATTA